GTCTATAACCTCTGAAAATTTGAGCGAAATCCGTTGAGAAATGAGTGAGATATGAGGCCTCAAAGTTGCGGTCTAGGAAGCAGAAGAAAAAAAAGAATAAGAATCTTGACCAACAGAATCAGTAGAAGGTCTTCCGTTGGAAACGGAAGACCTTAATAATCTTAATAATCAGAATCAGTAGAAGGTCTTCCGTTGGAAACGGAAGACCTTAAAAAGACAAAACAGTAGAATCTCTATAACGTCTTCCGTCTGAAACGGAAGACCTTAATAATAGAGAAAAAGAAACCGAACGAAAACAATAAGGTCTTCCGTTGGAAACGGAAGACCTTAATAATAGAGAAAAAGAAACTGAACGAAAACAATAAGGTCTTCCGTTGGAAACGGAAGACCTTAAATACACAATAGATAAACAAAAGAAAATAATAGATTAATAAATAAATAAATAATAAAAGAAAGTTCTACACATACGTATTTTTAAATCAATATTCAAATAACATGATTTTAATCGCCGTCAAACGTGTACTCGCAGTATTTATTTCCGCGTGTAGTTAAAAAAAAATGAATTAATCTTATATAGTAAATAATTATGCTTATTCTTTTAACTTATAAAATAATGTGGACTTCTGAAGATAAAACTACTACTGAGATAAACAATAGATAAATAAATAAATTAATTAAGTACTATTCCACGTAAGAATCAGGCAGTGGGCGGCACATGAGGGGTCTCCGATTTTTTTCAAACTTTGCATGCAGGTAGAGTATGGTTAGTGACTTCCTAAAATAAAAATTTTTTTCTCAAATCTGCGTCTGGTTTCCATGGCAACAGAAATATGCTTTTCGGCCTAAAATGGCTGAAATTTCCCTTGAAAATATGCAAAATTGCCAATTTTCAAGTTCAAATTTTAAAAAAAAAAATAAGAAAAGATATCACAGTTATGTTTTTTTTAATTCAACTACAGCACAGGTAACTTTTCAAAATTAATTCAAATTTTTATATGTCCAGTAAGATGTTCTAATTTTAAACTGAAAAGGGGAGATAATCCAAATGTGCAAAAAACATGAAAATTTCATTTTTTAAGGGATTTTCGGATATCCAAAACTACAAAAACCCAACAACAAAATCAAAAAGGCATCTTATTATCATAGACATCATACCCAGTGGTCAATAAAAGTATAAAAACATTTTTGTGCAAATGATATTCTATTTCTTAAAACTGAGGTTGAATTAATCATAAAAAATAGCATATTACATTTATTCCATAACCCCACATATTTCATAAATATTATGCATGTGGAATACATAATAAATTCACATAACTAAATGTTTTGAATTCCATCTTCATATTCAATACAACATGTTACTTTTCATATTAAATAAAATTATTTCCATATCCAGTAAGATGTTCTAATTTTAAACTGAAAAGGGGAGATAATCCAAATGTGCAAAAACATGAAAATATCATTTTCTAAGGGATTTTCGGATATCCAAAACTACAAAAACCCAACAACCAACTCAAAAAGGCATTTTATTTTCATAGACATCATACCCTGTGGTCAATAAAAGTATAAAAACATTTTTGTGCAAATGATATTCTATTTCTGAAAACTGGGGATGAATTTATCATAAAAAATAGCATTTTCCTTTTTTTCATTACCCCACATATGTCATAATAAATTATCATAACCAAAATATTTAAATATTCCATCTTCATATACAATACAACATGTTACTTTTCATATTAAATAATAAATACCCTGTGGTCAATAAAAGTATAAAAATATTTTTGTGCAAATAATATTCTATATTTGATATTTGAGGATGAATTTTACAAGAATTTTCATAATTCCAGCACTGTCTAGTATGTCATAATATATGTAAATGTAATGTTATGTAAATGAAATGAACATAACTAAATGTTTTCATTTTCTTAATTCATATACAAATCAATATTACAAATATGTACATTATATTTCATAATTTATAAAAATATTACTATATCCATTAAGATGTTTTCATTTTTCACTTAAGAGGGGAGATAATGACATGAAATAAAGATTTTTTTCAGGGATCTTCAGAAATTTAAACCATTTTTGTTCACATTATTTAAATTTGAAAAAAAATACAAGGGTTACAATGCACTAAACTTCAAAATTCCTTTGCTTGGTATTATACCATATATATATATATCCAATAATCTTTTTTTTCAAATTTTGAACATCATTCTCATTATTTCCATAATATTAACAATGTGTAATATTGCAATATGTAACAAGAAATTCTGCGCTAAGATTTCATACGCTTTGCTACATGTACTAGCATAAAATAAAAATTCTTAGCAGAATTAGTGATAAATCTTTCCATTTAAACTTATATTACATTCTAATTATTATTAAAAATTGCATAAAGAGGAATCATAAATGGCATTAAGAATGCAATTTTTACTCAAATTATGTATTTTTGATTAAAAAAAAAATGCCCCCCCCAAAAAAAAACAAACAAAAAACCTGAACAACAACACAAACTAAATTGTCTTTAAGAAGCAAAATAACAAGTTAGGATTGGAAATGAGAGGGAAAAAAACTGAGATCTATTTGCAGGTATACAATGTATAATCAGATTACAGAAAATGAAATAGACATTGAAAGATAGCCTTTGAAAATGTCCCAGTTAGGCAACTTCAAATGTTTATAGTCATATTGCACAAATAAAAGAATACTTTTTAATACAGTCTGGTATTTTTTAAAATTATTTTTTTTTGCACGATGAAATACATAAACAGTGTACCGGTATATCATGACATAATACAATTACAACTTATTAGCGTGCTGAATGAATAATGTAAGGGTTCTCTACCAGCTGCAAAAAATCTTGTTATTCATAAATTCACATGCAGGCTCATGTTTAAAACACTTCACAAAATGCTAGATAGTATAATTATGCAGAATATACTTAAATACACATCAAAATGATGTAATAGAGTAGCAGTAAAAACCTCTTTCTCATGGAACAATGTCATGCTCTTAGATGCATTTTTAAAATACAAGTTCCCAATTTCAAATACTTGAATACATGTGATAAAAAATTTCTGAAACAAAAAAATGTATCATTTTTCAATTCAATAATAATGGATCATACATGTCTACAAGACCTGATAAAACTTAAACGATTCACTTACAATCTATTTAACATGTATGCAATTTTAAATAAATAAATGACTTGATCTACATATTGCCAGTTCAGTTTTGACAGAGTACTTAATACCAAACTTCTTCTTCTTCTTTATTGTAACTTTAAGCTTTACAGCTTATCAGTACAAAATAATATAAACAGTTTCAGTACAGAAGTCGATAATTTACAGGAGAACAATGTGTACGTACAAAAATGATAGTAATAGATAACAAAAAAAAAAAAAAAAAAAAAAAATGGAAAACATACAATTAACGGATTACAAGATCACCTCTTCGCCTCAGACTATAATAAATATATTTACCAAGATTACACATATCCTTATAATTCTCAGTGTTGAACAATTGCAATAATTTAAACATGGATGGTTTTTTAATGAAATATTTTTTAATAAATTTGTTTCGATAATCTTCATTTACAGGACATACCAATAAAAAATGATATTCATCCTCAACACAATTATGACAAGAAAAACATTTCCTATGCGTTTTGTTAGTTTTATTATATCTCCCAGTTTCAATAGCTTACAGGTGTGATGATAATCTTAAATTTGATATACATTTTTGGAACTTAGCCGGAATAGATTTCTTTAAGTAATACTGAAGGTAAAACCCATCAAGTAGATATTTATAAAAAGAGCATTTTTGCGAACTTTCGATTTTAGCAAATACTTCTTGTTTGGCCTGGTCCAAGATCCTATATTTAATACATTTTAAGGTAGCCGTATTAATTTGTTGTTTATCCCAAACCTCACTAAAACCTAGATCATTTAAACATTTCTTCACCTGAAAAGCCCAGTTTTTTTGTGAATGCATTTCACAGTTATAATACATCTTCCCATAACAATTTCTAATGATACAGTTATCGCTTTTTAAAATATTACTCCAAAATTTTATCATTGAGAATGTCCTTTTGAACAACAGAGGAAGTCTGCCTAACTCAGCATACACAACTGCATTACATGTAGATTTTTTAACTCCTAAAATCTGCTTACAAAAATCAAGATGTAGTTTTTCTACATTATCACCTTTATGAGATCCCCAAATTTCTGATGCATAATTTACAATTAATGCCTCCAACATAACAATCAAAAAGCGATAATAAAGTTTCATAATTAAGGGACAAACCCCTTATGTTTTTTTTCAACACAAATAATGCTTTTCTACCCTGGTCAGACAACTGTTTTTCCGCCATTGTAAATTTATTATGAATGATGGAAAAAACAAAATTTTTTTGATTTCACAGTGAACAAAAAAAAATCATATATCTTGCAAAGAAATTTTACATAATATTAATCCACCCATAAATATTTTACTTGTCTAACTCAAAGATTAATGCAGAGAAAAAATTGATTGCATTATTCTCATGGAAAGAATTTTACACAATAATTGTTTGCATTTACATGTACATGTATGTGTACCACTTTGTGCAAGCTACATGGAATACTACAAAGTATGAACTTATATACCAACTTGGCCATTTGTCCATTGTAATTGATTCATTCACAATTAATTCATTTGGAAGTACTGTAAATCACTTTTTATTCGCGAAAACTTTATTTTTGCGTAATTACGTGAAACAGTGTGCTCGCGAAAATTTAATTCTTGCTTATAATAGTATTCTTAAAGATTATATAGAGCAATAACCACAATTCGTGAAAAAAATGTCTTGCTAATCAAGAGTCAACGATAACCTCGCAAATATAAGGTGTCCCGAAAATTAAAGTAAAAACATACTCGAGTGACGTCATAGTATTCATTCCGTGTTTCCGTCTATTTCTCTTTTTACAAAGCGACTTATATTTCCGGTATGGTGTCGGGGCATGGCGCCGAAAAACAAGAAAGGGCGGTTTGTTAAAAAGGGACATGAAAAACAAGTAACAGCATTGTCTAAAGGTAGAGACACTCGTTGGTTTTCAGATTCCTGTTCAAGTTCGAATTCAGGGCCGATTTTATTCGCTGAACTTGATCACAGTTACGACTCGTGTAGTGTAAACAAAGACCCTGTGTGTAATGTTTCAAGACAAGAAGATATTGTGACAACCTTATCTAACGATGAAGAACCTGGATGGCGAACGGGAAGGCGAGTTATTGAGTTAGGAACTTTAGCAGATGGTCTGAAAGCGTGTAAGCTATGTAGCCAGCCATTACATTTGATAAACACTGTAGGTGAGAGGAAATTTGGGCTAGCGCAAATTTTAGAAGTGAAGTGCACGTATTCGGAATGTGGCCTGGTTAATGACGTTCCAACTGGAAGTAAACATACAACAGAGAATGGAAGACAGGCTTGGGATGTGAATACCAAGTTAGCTGCAGGTATGATAATTTGTATTTGAATTTTTTAAAAATGGAAAATTAATAGCATAATTGTAATAAATACCCTTAATACTCCATGTGTGAATTTCAAGTCAAGTACACATAGCATACATGATGCAATAAAAAATAAGCAATGTCTGTCCCAAAAATTATGCCAAAACACTTCAACTGCAGGGATGATAAATGGAGGATTTGGGGAGACACACATTAACAGTATTCTTGCTGCCTTGAACATTCCAAGCATCACCCAAACAGCACTTAAGAGGAGGGAGAGAGAAGTCGGACACCAACTTAACTGTATGGCAGATGAATCATGCAAGAAGCAGTTGAATAAAGAACTAGAAATGTAGGTATTGAAAATGTTTGCATGTTTGCATCATTGGATGTATATGAAACTGAATAATAAAACGTATAATAATTATTTGTATTAAAGGAGTGATGGAAAACTGACCGTTTCTTTTGATGGTGCCTGGCAAAAGCGTGGGACTGGTCATGCTTATAACAGCCTAACAGGTACGACTTAGATAGTAACTCATGTACCAAAAATATATTTTTAATTTTGTCCTTTCCTTTGAAATTAAACAGATGTACAATAGTAAGTGTTTTGCAGGACATGCCACATTATTTGGAAAAAAAACAAAGAAATGCATTAAATATGCTGTTAAAGGAAAGAGATGCAGGATATGTGATGCGGCAAAGGACAAAGGAGTTTGTCCACAAAAACATAACTGTTCACGTAATTGGTCCGGTTCTTCAAAAGCCATGGAACCAGCCATGGCTTGTGAAATGGTGCAGAGCATTTATGATGATGGAGGAAAGGTACATATATCTTTATGCACTGCATATTTATATATAAGTTGCTATAAATATAGCTACCACAAGATTCTTAAGATATTGATCTGACATAAAATATGTTCAAAAATTGTTTTACAATGTAGGTAGATACGCTTGTAATGGATAATGATTCCACTACTATTGCTCGACTTAAAGCCACAGTTGACAATACCATATCCAAGCAGGCTGATAAAAACCACACCAAAAAAGGGTTCACAAATGCTTTGTTTGAGCTGAGCAACAACCACAAGATCCTGAAGAATACAAAAGTTCGCAACCATATAGAGAAATGTTTCATATATTGCGTAAGTCAAAACGAGGGCAAACCAAAAGAAATAGCTGATGGATTGCAGAATATAGTCCCTCACTTATACGGTAAGGAAAAATTATGTGCATTTGTGTATAGCAGTGAACAGTATATTTGTATAATGATTTTAAAATTGAAATTAATTTATTGACTGTCTCTAGTATGTCAAAGTGTTTTATTGTTTAGGAGAACATGATGGTTGTGGCTTATGGTGCAAGAATGAAAAAAAGGACTACAAACCAAGAAATTTACCTTTTGGGAAACCATTGAATTGTCCAAATTTTCGAGATGCCTTAGAAAATCTATTCCTAAAATATGCTGCAAAGGCAGATGAGCTTGCATCTCTTGGTTCAACACAGGTCAACGAAAACTTTAATCACATGGTGTCGTCAAAAGCTCCAAAACGATTGTAAGTCAAATTTTTTGTTGGAGATTTTTTGAGTAGTTTAAAGTATAAAGTGGTGCTGCTAATAAGAAATCTGTACACTAGAAATTATGTATACTCAACATGATCAGGAAATTGCAAATCATAACAGGTTTTATGGAGGCTCAGAAAGTCTAAAGACTAGACTTTCAGCTACCGTTTGTCAGAAAAATGATGGTCATAACTACATTACAGAGGTGATTTAAAGTTGCAGTGTTGAAAAGTGTTCTATTTGATATTGTTGACAAGTTACAGTTGACTTTACAAAACCGTTTGTTTTTTGTAATTAAACACTGTAAGCCTTTCAATGTTCATCAACCTTTTGTTGAATTTGACAAATGAAGTGTTAATGACAATTATACATGTTAAAAAATCTTGCAGGACAAGATTTTAAGTAAATTTCCGTTTTGTATAACAATCTTAAAAAGGAATGATGACATTTATCTCAGTGTTTTATCTTCTTATCTTAATAAATTTTATTGCATTTCATTTTATTGATTTTTGTTACCTTTCAGTTCCAGTCATACTTGCCAACCTCCAGCATGTAAAAATCTGGTCATGACCAGATTTGGAAAGTAAAAAATCTTGTCATAACGCGTAACGACATTCACAACATATTTAACATGATTAAATTTTATACATATATACGAAGTATTTGTGTATTGAGAATTCTTTTATTGAAAAAGGATTTAATTTACTATGACAAAAAATTCATACATAATTTGATTTGAATTTACATGTTTAAAAAAATGAAAATTGAAGGTTTCATGTTTTAGTATTGACCTGAAGTAATGTGCATTTTTTTAAAAAGCCTTTTCAGTTTTCTGCTAAATTTGAAAGTATACCAATTTCAGTTTTGAAGTTATTTTTCCTCTCTCTTAATTAATTAACTACTGCAATATGTTTTAAATGTGTTTTAAATGTGAAGTTAGGCCTACACTGTTATCGATCACTTTATTTTATCTAGTCTAAGAAAAAAATGAAAGTTTTTTTTCCAAGATTCCTTGATATGTACATAAATATCGTTTCTCTTTTTCTTGGTTCAATTAGAGACATGTGTTTAGTTCAACTTGTTCCTGTTGGCCCTGATAACGATTTAGTTCTATCGGAAGCCATTTTAATTGACTTCAAACATTGTTTTGAATGAGTTAATTGTTTACACCTGCACAGACAATTAATCCATCGGCATTGTTTACGTAGAACTAAGCTTGAGTTGTAACTGGAAGTTAAAAGTGCAACCTAATTTACGAACCAAATCCGAAAATCGGGAGATTTTCGGGTTGATCGGCAAAAATCGGGTGATAAGCATGACCCGCCGGGTCATAAAAAATAATCGGGTTACGGGTTGAAAAATCGGGTGTGACCCGACAAAATCGGGTGAGTTGGCAAGTATGGTTCCAGTGTTCTTATTGCTTGTCACTTTGATTCTGATTCATAATTTTATTTTCTCAAGTAAAAGTTTGTTTTAATGTATCTTTACCAATAAAACTAAATTTTAACATGATGTAAAATTGTTAGAGTATCTATCATTTTTTTGGTGAAACTTATTTTGATTTCATTTTATATTCAGTTGAACAAGAAATGCTCTGTATCCCCTGGACAATTTACGCTGAAGCATGCTCAAAAGATGGAGAAAAGATTGAAAAATCAGCGCCTTCGTCAGAGTTTATTTACTTCCAAAAGGCGACGACTGAAACTCAAGTCTTTGAGGGCAATGAAAAACTCCACACAGTCTGTATTAGAAGGTATATACAATGATGCTAACTTGTAATGAGTTCCAGTTTTAATGTAACCTTACACAGTTGTACAAAACATTTTTGAAAATGAGTAAAACATTAGTTATTCTGTTGCATACAAGTGTCATTGTGTCTGCAGGTGATACATACCAGTCCAAGATTGGCATTGAAGAAGATTTAGATCTTGAGGACATTGATCTCACTCCAGTATCTTTTCCAAAGGATGGTAGTGAAATTATTTTTGACTTGGAAACTACTGGTCTGGGTAAGTTCATAGTGTATGCTAATGTACTTGTAACTTATCATTTACTTAGAGTAAGGTACTATTGAAGTAACCATTTCATTTATTAATTGATGTTCCAGAACTTAGTATAACGTTAAATATCTGACTTTACTTTTCTTTCAGCTCGGACATCTGATATTATTCAGATAGCAGCAGCCTCTGGAGACGAGGAATTCAGTATATATATGACCCCAACGACAGAAATTAGTATTGGAGCTTCTGAGGCCACAGGTTTAACTTATGTTGGAGGTGTCCTGAAACACAGAGGCCAGGCCGTGAGTTGTGTTACTCCCCAGGAAGGACTTTCCCAGTTTCTGAATTTCATCAAGAAGTTTTCAAAGCCAATTCTGGTGGGACATAACATTCAGAGTTTTGATTTGCCAGTCTTAATAAACCAACTTTCTAGATATAAATTATATACAGATTTCCAGAAAACAGTGTTTGGATTCATTGACACATTAAAGGTAGCAAAGAGAACATGGAAAAGGCCTGAAGTTGAGAACTACAAGCAAGAAACATTGGTCAGAACTTTTCTGGACTTGAAATATGATGCTCATAATGCTTTGGCCGATGTACAATCCCTGCAAAGATTGTATAAGAAGATGATGGCAAACTGTCTTCTTTCAAGTGATCTATTTACTCTTAATTACTATGCATGTAAGCAATCACTTGACCCTTTAGTGAAAGACAAAGTAATTTCAAGCCAAACAATGAAGAAACTTCTTCAGTGTTCACTCAGTTTGCCCAAACTTAGAAGTATTCATAAGCGTGATACTTTTAATGGAATTAGAAATGTGTTTGTGGAGCAATGTGAAGGGACAAAGGTCCCTAGAATCTCCAAGTCTAAGGCAGTTATTGACAAACTCATTACATATCTGAATACATAATAGGTTTGTGTAGATGACTAGTATAACATCAAATGTTAAAACAGTATATGTCTTGGTGTTAAGGTTTTCCTTTTCACAGGTGAGCAATTTAGGCCATGGGCCTCTATATTTCATTATTTAAGGTTTAGAATTAAATAAAATGATTTACCTTGTCTCTATATTAGAATGCTGAACCACAGAAACTTTTTTAAGGACCTACTTCAAAATGTAATGAAATTTAAAAAAATTTTGTGTGGGGGTGGGGGTGTAAAAATGCTTGTACTGAACTTATTAATATGGAAAGGTGTCATTTTTTTTCAATTAATTAGATTCTCAAATACATAATTACTTAATTTGTAAACCATTTTTTGGATTGAAACCATCAATTTGAAATTATAAGAGATTCTTTCGAGAAAAATATGTAAAATTAAAGCCAATTTTAACATAGATAGAAGATGAAAAGTCATGTAAATGGATATATGTTAATTTTAATGATAACAATGATAATTTTTATGTAATTTTAATGATTTGTCATTCATTGGTGGTTCATACATTCATATATTGTCAAATATATTCATGAAATATTCATAATAAAATTCTACTCTGAGTTTTGAGTGAATTGCATTTGGGTTAAATATACATCAAGTGTTGAACTTCAGAATTAGTATGGAAAAGGGCTTCTTTTTGGGATTATTTGGACACTTACATGTGTGACTTGTAAAATATACAGACAGATTTAAGTTTGAACCCATATATACACAAGTATGGATATACCTTAAGTGATCTACAGAATAAACTATGAGTGTTTCATATTTAAGGCATATAAATTTCATGGGAGAATTTGCATTCTTAAAGCCATATATGGCGTATGTACAGTGAAAAGTATTAGACGTAGATTATAAGAACTTGTTAGTTGTATCATTACCTTATATAAAGATAGAACTTTTCAATAAATTACAAAATCTAAGTCAATTGCGATATAAAGATATCACAATTTAATTTGGATTCTTGGAATTTTGTCCGACTCGGAAGAAAATACAAAAGATTTAAATAACACGTTACAGAGAAGATAAAATCGTATTATTATATGAAACGAGGTGTTCTCCGTGTTCAGAATTGTATGAAATGCTTTAATTTGAAGGCATTAACTATATTTCTTAACTTAATTTTGTATTTTTCAAAAACATTTTTTTTTTGATCAGTTACGCCATATATGGCTTTGAAGAAGCTCATCAGGAATTTCATCCATCTAGACTTTCAATGATTTTCTCACTGTCATGGAATTGTAAGACAGCCTGCAAATCTTCATCTCCAATACTTTCCTTATTTTCTTCACGATAACTATCGTTGTCCTTTTTCTGTTTTGAAACCAATGAGAGTCTTGAAAAGAATGAAGAAACTTGACTTGGCTGAAGCCATTCACTGGGATGAAATTTTCTCTCCCCCTCCTCTGTCATGGTCCTCATATCTCTTGCAACCTGAATAGCATTTTCTTTCTTTCCAATTTCTCTACCCCTCTCAAACAAATCTATCAGAAAACTTCTCATTTGTGGGAAAACCTTTTAAATTTCTTGTTCTTTTTTAAGGCCCGACCCATTGGTTCACAAATATCTGTATTTTCTAAAGGAGTCTGCCCCATCAGTTACCCACTGGAAGTAGATATTAAATCACATTTCTCTGCTCATATCCTTTTCACCTGGTCGAAAGAGGACTCAGAAATTGTTTTCATTTCATGTCTTCCACTGATGATGTAATCTTCTAATGATCTAAATGACTGGTAGAATTTGATGCAGCCTTCTTCAGGGCAAAGAAAAGCAGGTTTCACTGATCCTTGCAATGATTCTTCTGGACTGGCAGGGTTTCTTGAGATGGATTCATCATCTGTCTGTAGATTTTCTTCTCCCTCTGATGGTACTCTTGGAATATCGGATAAATTTTGCCTTTTTTTGTTGATATGTCCAGAAACACTTTTGTCCATAAAATCTTCAAGAATCCTGAGACCCGGATCATCATGTTTCTGCCTGCAGAGTTTTGTCACTGTATCCTCTGTCAACAGATTTCCTTTCCCAACATCATAAACACGCCATAATCTTATACCAAAGGACTGAACTCAACATTTGTAAGCTGAGTGATGCCTTTTAATGAATGACTTCTTAGAGTTTGCTTGGAAACATCAACATCTACCACTGCTGTCTGCACCCCACAAACACCATTTCCACTGTCTATTGCCCCTTTCATATCATGAGCTGACCTGATATTATGACCCTCAATGGAATATACTCTCATTTTCTCAGGCATGTCAATAGTGCGCATGTCGTAAATTGCGCGAAACACATTTGGAAGAAGAATCTCGAATTAAATTTAAAATAAACGTGTTTTTAAATATGAGCCTATAAAAAATGATGTTTTATTTTATACATAAAACGTGTCTTACATTTTGATTATTTGAAAATTTCTTGTCTAAATATTTTACATTTATCTGATTTGAATGAATTACGACATTTCGAGTTGCGCAGTGGACCCAAAAGTGTCAGGAGCGAACATCTTTAAGACATCCCAAACAAATCAGTCCTTTATGGGCCCATCTGAGCATTCTTGCTTGACAATATCAAGCAATGATTATGAGATGATAAAGAAAATGTTTATCGATGTCTACAGCCAAAACACTTTACCCGAGTCAGCGCAGGTACATTTATTACGTAATCCAACCACAGAGGACACTGGAAAACGGGAAATCGCTTAAATGGAATCACAGACAGCTCAAGCTGATGAAACTCTTGCTTTGAATAATTTGGTTTATGAAAATTTACAGTTTTTAAGAGGGAAATTAGTTACTTTACTTTATTAAAACGTTGTTGAAGAACTTAGGAAGGGCCTTAGTGGTAATTTTACGTTAAATGCATTTATCATGAAATTTGCTATTTAATTTGACATTCCTTGATTGAATTTTATTTTATTTTAAGCACACTGAAAATAAAATGCAGCTTATGTCTAAATTCCCAACAAATACTAGATGTGGAATGTCTTGTGCAGAAAGAACATGACACAAATGTGATTTTCTAACCTTACTTGTGAGTTTACACAGCCAGATTGACATTGTTTTTCCCACAATTGGCAAGGAAATATAAAAATCAGAATACTGTCATAAAAATATCAGGAAACTAATTTGCGATTTTCAAAGGAGGACAAATATACTCTTAAATATACCGGCTGTAAGACTTAATTTGATTTGAATAAAAAAAAAATTGGGGAATTCGATTTGGTAGATGAATGCCTGTAGTTTGGGAGAAAAGATAATTATAAAGTCGTTTAGAGACAAATTGACAAAGAGGATTGATTGATCGTATATTGTATGTATTCTGTATATATACGAATAAGCTTATTTATCTTGATTGGTAAGTTTACATTGGTTATAATAACACACAGTGGATCCAGAGAGTGGGTTTCCGGGGTTGCAACCCCCCCCCCCCCCTGTTTGGATTTGCAAAATAGAGGGGAAGTCCAAATTTTTTTCATGTGCTTTACTATTTAAAATTTTCAATTAAAGACTAATGGTTTAATTTATAAAGAAATTCTGTTGTGAAAACAAAATGAAACTCCTTCTCCTTTACTGAATAGGATTTTCGGGTTAAAAGATTCATTTCCTTTCCTTTTCAAAAACTTTCAGATAGGAACCCAAAAATGATTTTTCCATGTTGATGAACCTCCCATTTTTAAAACTCATCTCTAGTTGCATTCTTCTGTGTTATTTAAGTACATGTATTAAGTAAAACATACGTTATACATATTGAAGCCGATTTCCTTTTTAACCCCCCCCCCTTTGAAAAATTTCAAGATCCACGCCTGACATGTTTTTTTTATCTTTGTGTAATTAGCATGTATCTTGAATTTGAAAAATACGCCTTTAAAACGGGAATATCGATCCCAATACAATTTAGTTTTGAAATTATATTATAATTAAAAAAGCCTCATTTTTGAGTCAACGGTAGCCTGGACGTTCAGGGCATAATGACGTAGGCGGTTTCCTTTGGCCCACCCATGCCTTTTAAATGGAATGAGCGTCCCATCAACAACACCAATACAATTTGGAAAGTGTGCTTTGTTGAAGAAGTCTGTCTTTAAGCAATGGAGTTTTGGCGCATCCCTCGGGAATGAGATGTTCTTCGTAGGTCTATTAATTAATATCATTATTCTTTGTTACTACATATATTTTAGCCAGCTAAACAACATAAAATTTTGATTAGAATTAAACAGACCTCGGTTATTAATTCCTTAATTACAACAATGTTTCACTACATGAAGTGTCTCCGTTGTCAGGGGCAAGTACTTGACAAGTAACCTCTACACTAGTTGCAGTACTGCTAAAATCTAATGAAAGTCCGATGAGAATTGTGTCAAAGAAAGGAAATGGTCTAACCGGTGTATTGATGCAATCTCCCGAAGGTGTGCGATACAGAAGGAATGTTACGCATCTCAAGAAGTTCATAAGTGAAATGAAAAGTTGACCAAGTGAGAAATTTGTGAAATTAGTATATTCCCGGCAGCATCCAAGACATTTCAGTCTCTATTTAGACATTTTCCTGTCTGCACACATTATTTTTACGTAGTGCACTGCTCCATGACGCTCAATGACGTTCCGATTTTTGGCTGTGTTCTTACGCGTTGATCATTTATAAGCAGCTATAAAACAGCCATAAACCCTCCGATTTAGTTCAAAATTTTTCCAAGTGACTTTTCCTGCATACTTTAGCGGCAGGTAAAATATCAAAAATCTCTTGGCACTACAATTGTGCAATTTTTAATTTTAATAAAGAGTCGTTGTGATGTAAACGTGCCACAATACACCATGCTCCGTGAAGCAAGATTTATAAAATAAAAATGCCGTTTATTTTTCAATAATCATCGGAGAGCACAAGATTCTTGTATATTTATTGAAAAAAATGTTAAGACTATATCTGGAAATATTGACCGGTTTCATGGAAATAGCGAGATCACAATAGAACTTTTCCGCGAACTTTTCT